GATTTTGGACAAGAGGCCCTCAAGTACTTATCATGTATATATTATCATGCATGTCTTTATCCTCCGCTTCAATGAGTACATATTTAGGACTTACAGGCATTCCCCGTAATTTAAATACTTTATTGGCCGTAAACGATCTCTGTCTGTTCCAGCTCTGATATTTCTTTCCTTGAATTGGGCCGTCAACACTGAACAACAATCTAAACGAGAGAGTGCAAGCAATTTAATTAGTGTCATCATTGGCAATATTTTCCCCTGTTTTGAATGTTCTCATTATCCACTCCGTCATTTTCCTGGCTGTCGTTACATTTGCCTTATTGTGTTCTACGAAAGAAAGGTCAGCTGACATCATTATTTCCAGCTCTCGTGTATTCCTTTCATCTATTTGATGATCCTCTTGAGTTTTGTATACAGTATCCCTTTTGAGTTCTTGGTTCTTGCCATATCTAAGCAGTTGAAACTTATCACTATCGAACGTCATGTTATTCTCCATTGTCCACGGGGAAAACCGTGTTTATAATTTACTGCACTTTTTTCCGTGCCTTCTGCCTTTTATGCTTATTTTTGTATCCAAAAATGACGCAAAATTGTGCCGAGTTTTTTTTTTCTTTCTGTTATGAGGATGAATAACAGCAGAGATGCCAGGACCGTGTCTCGGGGTACTGAACTTTTTATCTCGTTAATGCTAGATTTTGCTGTTTACTGTTTGCCTTCTACCTGTCAGAAAATTGAAAATCCATTTGCCTGCCTACCTCCGTTATGCCAGTGGCCCTCATTTTGTGTGTAATAATCCCATGATGACATTTGTGAAATGCCTTTGCAAAATCCGTGTATATCACATCTGCGTATTTTTCCAACCTCTTTAATTCTATTATAGTGATTTAGCAGTTATAACAAGCATGCTCTCTTAGTTCTACTTACCAAAAACGATGTAGTTGAAGTCCTGGTGGTTAAAATTTTAAAATCAAAAGTTCTTTGCACTCGTATAGAAACCACCAGATGAAATTTCACAGCGGATTTGGGATCAATCCTTCTATAATTTTCCTGGTGTAGATTTAAATGTATCTTTATCGCTTATATTCCAAGGTGTATAGATCGACACTTCAAACACTCCCGCAAATTTAGATGCTTGACTGAATCTGTGCTGGCATTGAAGGGTCTCTGCACATTCTCCAGGTATACAGTTTTGCCTGCCTTGAAAGCAGGTGTTAGAATACAGCAGTACTCCAGTCTAGAGAGAACAAGTGACTTGAAGAGTATCATCATTAGCATGGCATCCCTTGTTTTGAAGATTCTAGTTATCCAGCCTATTATTTTTCTTGTGGCTGAGATAATGACACTGTTGTGATCCTTGAAGATGATGACTTCTGACATGATTACTCCAACGGCTCTCACATTAGTCTTTCGCTGTATTGAGCGATTCGAGTTTGTTTTATACTCCATTTCTGTCTATTTTCTCAGCCTTTCCATAACGGAGTAACTGAAGCTTGTCCTCATTGAACATCGTATTGTTATCAGTGGCCTTCTGGAAGCATACTTGAGCACCATCGTCGAGATGACATCTGCTAAAGCACCTTATCAAGCTTCACAACCGTCGCTGAGTGGTTTATCCCTAGTAGTGGTGGTGGTGGGCCTCGTCTCTGGGAAGGGTATCACTCCTCACAGGAGTGGGCGGCCAGGTGAAGACAACCTCTGCAGTCACAACTGTAACTACTTGTGCAGTTATTCCAGATGCGTTCACAGATTTGTGATCGCTGGAGTCGAGGTTCAACTTTTGGTCCATCCTCCCAGGGAAGAAGAACCCTGCAGGGCGGTTACAGGTATGCGACGAGTATGGCATCAAGATTCTGATCACCTGACTGAAGCCGTGAATGGCAGGAGTGCCCAACACCTGCTCGTCTACCTTCTACCTCTTGTACTCGCCCATTTGTGTTTGCGGGATTCGATTCTCGTCTCCTGGCTGAGTGAAGATTTGCTGTGTCAGTGTTCATCCCCGTACCTCCTCCATCTTTCTTAAAGATGAAGTGTGCGTGTCGGCTAGGGGTGTGGGTGGGTGTGGCTTGTGGGGGAGGATGAGGGTGGGGGTGGATCGGTGAGTGGAGAGTGCAGGTTTAGTATGACCCACTTCCCCAGGACATTGCTGCTGCTGCTGCGTCCGTGGCTACTACTGCTACTGCTGCGTCCGTGGCTATTGCTGCTGCGGCTTTGGCTACTACTGCTGCTGCGTTCGTGGCTACTACTGCTGCTGCGTTCGTGGCTACTACTGCTGCTGCGGCTTTGGCTACTACTGCAGCTGCTGCGGCTACAACTGCTACGGCCGTGGCTACTTCTTCAGCTGCTATGGTTACTACTACAATGCTGTGGCTACTGCAGCAGCTATGGCTTCTACTACTATTGCTCTGGCTACTACTATTGCGACTATGGCAACTGTTGCGACTGTGGCTACTGTTGCGACTGTGGCTACTGTTGCTGCTGTGGCTACTGTTGCGACTGTCGCTGCTGTGGCTACTGTTGCGACTGTTGCTGATCTACAGGCTAGCTCATTATGTTAGTAGTTTTAATAAGTATTTGAGTGAGCGGGGCTAGTTGAACACCTCAGTGTTTGTGAGCAGCAAGTGTTGTGTTATGATGTCCCAGTACCACTGACTCACCAGTACCACTGACTCACCAGTACCACTGACTCACCAGTACCACTGACTCACCAGTACCACTGACCCACCAGTACCACCGACTCACCAGTACCACCGACTCACCAGTACCACTGACCCACCAGTACCACTGACCCACCAGTACCACTGACTCACTTGTACCACTGACTCACTTGTACCACTGACTCACCAGTACCACTGACTCACCAGTACCACTGACTCACCAGTACCACTGACTCGTACCACTGACCCACCAGTACCACTGACTCACCAGTACCACCGACTCACCAGTACCACCGACTCACCAGTACCACCGACTCACCAGTACCACTGACCCACCAGTACCACTGACTCACTTGTACCACTGACTCACTTGTACCACTGACTCACCAGTACCACTGACTCACCAGTACCACTGACTCACCAGTACCACTGACTCGTACCACTGACCCACCAGTACCACTGACCCACTGACTCACCAGTACCACTGACCCACTAGTACCACTGACCCACTGACTCACCAGTACCACAGACCCACTTGTACCACTGACTCGCCAGTACCACTGACTCGCCAGTACCACTGACTCACCAGTACCACTGACTCACCAGTACCACTGACTCACCAGTACCACTGACTCGCCAGTACCACTGACTCGCCAGTACCACTGACTCACCAGTACCACTGACTCACCAGTACACTGACTCACCAGTACCACTGACTCGCCAGTACCACTGACTCGCCAGTACCACTGACTCACCAGTACCACTGACTCACCAGTACCACTGACTCACCAGTACCACTGACTCGCCAGTACCACTGACTCGCCAGTACCACTGACTCGCCAGTACCACTGACTCACCAGTACCACTGACTCACCAGTACCACTGACTCACCAGTACCACTGACTCGCCAGTACCACTGACTCGCCAGTACCACTGACTCACCAGTACCACTGACTCACCAGTACCACTGACTCACCAGCACCATGGTCACACCAGAAGCCACAACACATCTCACCATGACGGCTCCACTACTCATAATGTTTCTAACGTATTTTCCTGGAGAGGGTTTGCGAGGTTAACGCCGATGCGGCCCAGTCTGTGGCCAGGCCTAACGGTGGATCAGGGCCTGATCGACCAGGCTGTTACTGCTGGTTTTACGCAAACCGACGTACGAACCACAGCCCGGCTGGTCAGGTATTGACTTTAGTTGCCTGTCCAGTGCCTGCTTGAAGACAGCCAGATGTCTATTGGCAATCCCCTTTATGTATGCTGGGAGGCAGTTGAACAGTCATTGGCCCATGACACTTACTGTGTTGTCCCTGCTTATTGTGGCGCCCCTGCGTTTCATTGAGGGGATGTTACATCTCTTGTCCAGTCTTTTGCTTTCGTAGGGAGTAATTTTCGTGAGCAAATTTGGTAATCCGTCTAGGATTTTCCAAGTGCATATTATCATACATCTTTCTCGCCCGCGTTCTTGGGAATACAAATCAAGGAGCTTCAACCGTTCTGAGTAATTCAGGTGATTTATCGTACTTGCGTGTGCCGTGAAAGTTCTCTGTACACTCTCCAGGTCAGAAATTTCGCCTGCTTTGAAAGAGGCCATTAGGGTACAGCAGTATTACAGCCTAGAGAGAACAAGCGATTTGAAGAGAATCATCATGGACTTGGCATCCCTAGTTTTGAAGGTTCTCATTATCCGTCCTATTATTTTTGTAGCAGATGTAGTACCAAGATACGTTGTTGTGATCTTTGAAAGCGAGATCCTCTGACATATCACTCCCAGGTCCTTCACATTAGTTTTTCGCTCTGTTGTGTGGTTGGAATTTGTTTTATTACTGATATAGTTTTAATTTCCTAAAGCTTTCCATATCGGAGTAATTGAAATTTCTCTTAAATTAACTTTCATGCTTACCTCGGCCCATTTAAAGATTTGGTTGATTTCCGCTTGAAGTATTGTAAATGTAAGATACATCGCTTTGCATGACCCTAACTGAGTTTCTGAGCCGACATAATTTCACTAATACACTGTCTATTTGTACCGTATTTGACATGAGCTTGAGACCGGTGGGGGGGGGGAGTGATGATTCCCATGACTAACAAGAGGTAAGCACCAGGTAGTCTTGTCAGGTTATTCTTCTGTGCATGGTATAAACCGTGGTAATAGATACCGACAGATTTGTTTAGAAAGACAGGTGAGCAAACACTTAGAAAACGTTTCGGTGCTGAGACCTTGATGAAGGTCCCAGCACCAAAACGTTTTCATATTACTAAATATGTCCTAGTGTTTGCTCACGTGTTTTTCTAAATCATTATTCAATGCATTTGTTATATAAACGATTATTGTTTCAGGTTTGCCAGACCCGTTTGCCAAGATCAGCGTGGAGGGGTCAGGTCAGTGCCACTCTACAGACACCTGCCGCAATACTCTCGACCCCAAGTGGAACCAGTACTACGACCTGTGAGTACCTGCTACTGCACTTTACTGAGCAGATATTGAATGAGGAATTAGATCAGCTAAGTTGTGATGACAGTGTACACTTGTTCCCAGGTGAGGGAGCTTGTACCTCCATGAGAGACGAAAGGAACTAAACCATATGAGCACAGATGATATGGCAGACTGTGCAGGATACCTTCAGTGAAAAACAGGAGAGAAACAAGTGTCCCGTAGCTCGATTGCTAGCGCACCCAGCTCACACACTGAGGTTCGTGGTTCGATTCCCGGTACGGGTGGAAACATTAGGACATGTTTTCTTAAGATACCTGCTGTCCCTGTTCACCTAGCAGTAAGAAAAAAATAGGTACCTGGGTGTTAGTCGACAAGTATTGGTCGCATCGTGGGGACAGAATTGACGTAATTTGCCGGAAATGCTTCGCGTAACAAGGGTATTTCTATATAGTAGTATATCATTGATGTCAGCTAGGACTGTATACGGTGTACATGTAAAAATAAAGATTATTATTATTGAGAGGAAGCTCTGAAGTGTTAGGGATCAACAAACACTTACCTGTATTCAAAAGTGAACTCTACAGATTCCTCAAAATAGTTTGTGATGAACCAGATTGTGGTGCTTGCACTGGTTTATGGGCGGCGGGCGTTGATAGCTTGATGGATCAGTCTGCTCTGGGACCGGGCAGCGGGGGCATTGACCTCAGGAAGTGGCACCACATAGAAACGATACTTGAGATAGTTGAGAACGATATTTGAAATGCAAAGAACAAGCACGAGAGGAAATAGACGGAAACTAAAAATACTGATGAGCCACATATGCTCTAAAAGTACAGGAGTTGGTGTGTTGATGCGTTGTGAGGGATAGTTGCGAGTGTTAGTGTGTGTGTTTGTATGTAGTGTGATGTTGTAGTGTGTGTGTGTGATGTGTGTGGTGATGTGTATGTGTGTAGGTTATGTGTGTGTGTGTGTGTGGTGTGTGTGGTGTGTGTGTGTGTGTGTTGTGCCGCGTGTCGTGTGTGGTGTGTGTGTGTGTGTGTGTGTGTGTGTGTGTATGTGCGTGTGTGTGTGTGTAGTTGTGTGTGTGTGTGTTGTGTGTGTGTGTGCGTGTGTGCGCGGGTGTGTGTGTGTGTGGTGTGTGTGTGTGTGTGTGTGCGTGGCGCGCGTGTGTGCGTGTGTGTGTGTGTGTGTGTGTGTGTGTGTGTGTGTGTGTGTGTGCGCTGTGTGTGTGTGTGTGTGTGTGTTGTGTGTGTGTGGCGTGTGTGTGTGTGTGTGTGTGTGTGTGTGTGTGTGTTGTTGTTGTGTGCGCGCGCGTGTGCGTGTGCGTGTGTGTGTGTGTGTGGTGTGTTGTGTGTGTAGTGGTGTGTGTGTGTGTGTGTGTGTGTGTGTGATGTGTGTGTGTGTGTGCGCGCGTGTGCGTGTGTGTGTGTGTGTGTGTGTGTGTATGTGCGCGTGTGTGTGTGTGTATGTGCGTGTGTGTGTATGTGTGTGTGTGTGTGTGTGTGTTGTGCGTGTGTGTGCGCGCGTGTGTGTGTTGTGTGTGTGTGTGTGTGTGTGTGTTGTGCGTGTGTGCGCGCGTGTGTGTGTGTGTGTGTGTGCGTGTGTGCGCGTGTGCGCGCGCGCGTGTGTGTGTGTGTGTGTGTGTGTGTTGTGTGTGTGTGTGCGCGCGTGCGCGTGTGTGTTGTGTGTGCGTGTGGTGTGTGTGTGTGTGTGTGTGTGTGTGTGTGTGTGTGTGTGTGTGTGTGTACTCGCCTAGTTGTACTCACCTAGTTGAGGTTTCAGGGGTCGAGTTCAAGCTCCTGGCCCCGCCTCTTCACTGGTCGCATGTTGTGTGTCACCTATTTGTGACCTACCCGCGATTGAACCGCGTGCTTACGTTCTTAAGTCACCTATTTGTGGTTACAAGGGTCGATTCGAAGCTCCTAGTCCCGCCTCTTCGCTGGTTGCTACTAGGTTTACACACTGCCTGCTCCAAGAGCTTTGTCATACCTCTTCTTAAAGCAATGTATGGATCCTGCCTCCATTACATCACTCTGGAACAAGACACAACTGGAAATTGAAAACTCCGATGAGTCATAATGATGTTATAAAGTATTTATTCAGCCTTAGATTTGTCAGGAAGTGGAACAATCTAGAAAGTGAAGCAGTCGAGGCAGGTTCCATATATAGCTTTAAAAAGAGATACGGTAAGACTCTTGGAGCGGGGGGAGAGTGGACCTAGTAGCGACCAGCGAAGAGGCGGGGCCAGGAGTTGTAATTCGACCCCTGCAACCAGTTACAGGTGAGTAAATATGGGTGAGTACACACACACACACACACACACACACACACACACACACACACACACACACACACACACACACACACGCACGCACCCACGCATGCACTCAGAAACATTGGGTATTTAGTTTAGAGGGGTTAGGCCTAAATCTGTTCTCACAAATTATTCCGCATGAAAGTAAGAGGCTTCGCAGACGGTGCAAAATACTCCTAATAAAAAAAAAAAGCAGAGTTGCAATGAGTACACAGAGAAAACACAATAACTGTGGCTGGGCCAATACTTTTCAAGGTCCTCCCTTCATCAGGAGGGCTACCAACAGACCCCTGGCTAGCTTCAGGATCAGCTGGTCTGTGGTGTTTACGTTGGACATCGTGCGGCTATCACCATCAGCTTGGTTGATCAAGTCATTCACTGGAAGACCTGGTCTGGGACCGGGCCGCGAGGGTGCTGACCCAAGGAACACCTTCCAGATGGACTCCAGGTAGGGTGCTTGAAAAGTGAAACGACGATGGTTTCTTGTTCTTGAGAGGAGGGGTGATGCTTAGTTGCAGTGCTTGTGTTGGTGTATGATGGACGGTTGGTAGTTGTGGCAGTGCAGGGGGTGATACTTGTGGTGCCTTCTTGGAGTAGTGGATGATGGTGGTTGTTAGTAATGCAGTGAAGATAAGTTACCGAGGTAGATGTCTTATCTGTTTTTCTTTTTTTTTCACTTTTTTCGCTCTTTCTCTCTTCTTTCCTTCCCTCCTGTAAGCTTTTAACTTATCTTTGCAAACTTATCTAAACAGGACACATGACCACAACACAAGACACAGATCTCTTTTTGATATACCTCGTGTCCATATCACAGTGTAAAAACTCTGTGCACATAAAGGGACCCAAAATATGGAATTCATTACCAGAAGATATTAAAGTAACCCAGTCTGAAAATCAATTTAAGACTCTTCTCAAAAGCCACTTAATCACCCTAGACTAAATGCTAAATACTCAGTACACACTCACCTATGTACTCCCACATCATAACTGAAACAATCACATTGAACCTTTTATCCATTGTTGACAGGAATATAATTGAATCATTGTTTTCTCAAAAAGTATGTTTGAATATACAATATATCTTTGTATTATACAAATTTTGATTCAGTCATAATTAATATTCTACGGTACAACTACGAAATAATTACTATCCTACTGTACAACTATGATATACTCCTTTGTGTTAAGTAGACTGTAAGTCAATAATGTTAAGTTGGCCCATAATGCCTAGGCATAATAGAGGCTGTCTTTGTATTGCAACCCACTATTGTAAATATAAAATCTCAATGTACTGTTTGCAAAGACATAAAATAAATAAATAAATAAATAAATTGTAATAGCTAAAGAGCTGTAGTGTGTCAGTCTGTAGCCCTGAGGATGTGTGCGTGAGGGAGGGTGTGGTAGCGATGGGAGTTGTGGTGGTGGTGGGTTGATTGGGTGGGTAGGCTTGATGGATAGTGGAAGGTAGGGAGGGAGGGAAGAGGTGGAGGTATGGCAGTGGTAGTGTATATCAGGAGGTTATTTGAACACAATTTCAGGGGTCAACGCCCCCGAGGCCTGCTCCTAGACCAGGCTGCCTGGTTGATGGCCTGATCAAGCAGGTTGTTGGTGTTAGCTAAACGCAGACCATTATAGGCGCCACAGCTCGCCTAATAAGAAACTTGTATGAGAATTCGTCCAGTTCATCCAGTACTGCTGCTTGCAGTAGCTCTTACGAAGGGAGGATGTTGAAACATCGTGGTCCCTGTTTTTAATATGGGGTATTTTGCCGTCTGCCAAGCCGCTTTCATGGGGAATGATCTGTGTGTGTACACTTTCCTACGTTACAAGGAGTACAGATCGGAGAACTTCAAACGTTCCCAGTAATATAGGTACATGACTGAATTTGAGAGCAGTGAAGGTTCTTGGCACGTTCTTTGCAATTTCACATGCCTTGGACGGAACTGTTACAGCAGTATTCCGGCCTACAAAGAACAAGTGACTTGACTATCATCATTGGCTTGGCATCTGTTATTTTGAAGGTTCTAGTTATATTTTCCTTGGGGTTGTGATGGCGACGCTTGTGATTCTTGAAGATGAAGTCTGACATAATCACTCTTAAGTCTCCGTTGAGTGATTAGCGTTCGTTTTATACTCCATTCCAATCTTCATTTCCTCACTCTTTCCATAAAGGAGTAAGTGAAATCTGTCCTCTTTAAACGTCAAATTATTGTCAGTAGCCTACTGGAAGACTTAGTTTATATTTGCTTGGAGGTTTGTTGTGTCCGCAATAGATGCCACTCTCATACATATTCTAGTATCATTTACAAATGACGATACCTTTCTGTGATTTATCTGTTTGATGTGAGAATGAGAAGGAGAACGGTGGCAAGCACTGTGCCTTGATATACCTTTATAACTATTACATATCTTGTTCAGTACAACTGTTATAGATCTTGTTTGGTACAACTCTTGTAGATCTTGTTAGGTAGATTGTTACACGTCTTGTAAGTTACAGCTATTATAGGTATTGTAGGATGTAAAATGTATATATGGCGTTTCTTGTGGGCAAGTACATGAGGAGTTAACACATACAGAACCGAGGGTATAATGAAGGTAGTAACAAGTGTTGTGAGCAGGCGGATTACACACCAGATAATTATGTGTGAGAGATATTCCGCCCACGTCTGTCTGTTGTCCTTTCGTCCTTGGTGAAGTTAAGCGTTTGCGGTTCATTCTCAAGGATACGGCAGACCCTTTTTCCGGAGGTGGAGGGCTGAGGGAAGTGTTGTGGAGGAAGGCGGCGGTAAGGTGGAGGGCTGAGGGAAGTGTTGTGGAGGAAGGCGGCGGTAAGCGACCTGTATTCAGGGGAGAGGATTTTACCTTGAGTGGACACAGCAATGTTACTATTTCAAAGAAAATGTGTTTTAGATTACACGAAGCTTCGAAACAAAATATGCAGTGTCAGTTCACAAACAACCCACACTTTGGCTTTCTCCTTATTTTCTCGCTCAGTTATGTCTATATAATGATCCAGGACGGATCATTATCAAATTGTCTCTGCCAATAAGGGAACACTGTATCAACATGCGGGGTCCCAGACTATTCAACATCTTACCAGAAGATATCAGAAACACTGCTGGAACAAGTGTAGAAGCCTTCAAGAGGAAACTGGACAAGTATCTTCACCAGTGCCAGATCAACCAGGCTGTGATGGATATGTGGGGCAGCGGGCCTCCAGCAGCAACAGCCTGGTTGACCAGGCAAGCACCAGACGAGCCTGGTTCATGGCCCGGTTCAGAGAGTAGAGAAACTCACGAAACTCTTCAAAGGTATATCAAAGGTAAGATATTGAATTTTATTTTTTATGCAAAGCCAATGACGATATTTTTGTCGAGTAGAATATTGCTGTATATTAATAACCTCTTTAAAGACAAGAAAATTTATAGCTCTGGAAAATGCACAGAACTTTCACGTTACATTATTTGTAATGATTTAATTCACTTAATCTCCAAGAA